GAAAATGTGGCTTAGTGCTTGCCTAGCATGCGTGAAGACCTGGGCTCAGCTCCTCAGCACAACATAAACAAGAAGCTGGAAGTGGTACTCTGGCTCAAATGGTAGTGTGCTAGCCTTGAGCACAGAGAGGCTCAGGGACAGAGCCCAGGCTCTGAGTTCAAGCTCCAGGACGGGCAAAAAAAAAAAAAGCCAGAAAAGATAATAGAGATAATGATTCTTTGATATCCTTCACCCAGAAACTCAAATTTAATTATGTTTGGTTTAATGTTCTTTCAGTATACTTATATGTCATCTTTTTGTTTTTGTTTCTGTGTGTACTCGAGCTTCAAATCAGTACCTTACCCTCTCACAGAAACTAGGCATTGATGCCTTATGCTTATAATACTGACTACTTCACAGGCTGAGATCTGAGGATCAAGGTTCTAGTCCAGCCTGGGCAAGAGAGTCTGTGAGATACTTATCTCTAATTAACCTCCAACATAATTGGGAAGTGGAGCTATGGCTCAAGTAGTAGAGCACCAGCCTTGAGGGAAAAGACCAAATGAGAAGGCAAGGTCTTGAGTTCAAGCCCATATAATAGCACACAAAAAAGTTAATTTCCTCTCCCTGAGCACTGTAATAAATTGCTTATTAATATTTTCTTAAATTTTACTTACACATTAATATCCAGTAATAAAAAAATATTCCTGTTTAACAAGTTTTTAATGGCAGTTAAGGATCAGAGGTATGTACAAGGAATTTTGACTGGAAATAGGTATTTGCAAGCTCTTCATAGGCATAAGATAGTTGATAGTATGAAGCAGGCTAAAGAAACCAGCAAGAATAGGGTCCACACAGTCTTGGGAATATTAACATATTAGACTATTGGTGATTGTGGAAAAAAACAACTTTGGAAGAATAGAAGAGTGTGCAGCTTTTTGTTAAGGACCTTGAAACCTGGGCTGTCAAGTGGACACATTATAGAAGTCATCTTAGTTAACTTTATTTTACAAGTTCAACATGACTGACATTTAGTTCTAACTGTCCTCTGTCCCATTAAATAAATCATTCTTAGAACACTTTTTCTTAGTAACTCTTTAACTTGCCTACAAGAATGGCTACCATGTAATTAAGATGTGTTTAACCCTATGGATTTTTTTTTAATTTTGTTATCAGCATTGATTTGTAAGATGTGTAGAGAAAAACATATTTATAGTCAGAATTGGTTTGTTTTGCTTTCTAGTACAAATTGCCTGTACACACAGAGATCAGCTGGAAAGCAGATGGCAAAATCATGGCTCTTGGCAATGAAGATGGGTATGTGTTTGTTTCCTTTTAAAGAAGAAAAAACTCTTTATAAAATGATAGCCTTTCTATACAACAGCTTAATAATAACAATAAAATTATGTTTAAAAAAAAAACGAAGCCGGGCTCTGGTGGCTCACACCTGTAATCGTAGTAATGAGGAGGATGAGATCTGAGGATCACAGTTCAAAGCCAGCACAGGCAGGCAAATCCAAGAGGCTCTTATCTCTAACAAACCACCAGAAAACTGGAAGTGTGGCTGTGGCTCAGATGGTAGAGCATTTGCCTTGAGCTGCAGAGCTGAGGGACAATGCCAAGGCCCAAAGTTCAAGCCCTACAACCAACAAAAAAATAAAAGGCGGGGGGGAAGCATAATTGCATGCTTTTATCACAATATGGCAATTATTATCTGTAATGTTAGTTAGGGAGCCTCAGGTATATCAAGTAATCATAGGAAGAAATTATTTTTAGGTCTCGTATCTTATCCAATGCCAGACATTACTTCATTAATTTATTTTACTTTTTCTTAACACTGTTCATTATGAATGCCCAGTAGCACAATTTCTTAGAAATTGTAAAGATTTCTTAAAGCTAGATAAATTTATTTCAAAGAATAGCATTTTGTACTTGGTTCTTTTTTTTTTTTTTAAGATGAGGTTTCATTCTGTAGCCTTATGTTGTTGACCTGGAACTCAGGCTGGTTTCACTTTCATGATCCTTCTAACTCAGCCTCCCAAGTTTAGTGTTTACAGACATATACAGCTCAGGATTCCTTGGGAGAGAAGACCTTTTCAGAAATGAAAAGAGCTATTCTCTTCCTTAGACTAAGTGGCTTTTTGCATTTAGCAATATGTTATTAACATTTCTTTCCCTGGTATGTTTCTTATTTCAGATCAATAGAAATATTTCAGGTTCCCAACTTGAAGCTGATCTGCATCATCCAGCAGCATCACAAACTTGTGAACACCATTACCTGGCATCATGAACATGGCAGCCAACCGGAGCTCAGCTATCTGATGGCTTCGGGCTCCAACAATGCAGTCATTTATGTACACAATCTGAAAACTGTCATAGGTAATATTTGGTTATTCCTTCCTGTGTTCAGCTACTTGCCATCTGTTCTTTGTTTTTACTTTCTTTTTAGCATTTAATTACTATTTCCTCCTTTTTCAAAAGTAACATTTATCTACTTCAAAATTCATCCAAACATGATGTTAATATAGAAAACAGTTGCTGGATACCAATGGCTCACGGTTCTTTTGTTTTGTTAATCTTTCATTTTTTTTATTGTCAAGGTGATGTACAGAGGGGTTACAGTTACATAAGGTAATAAGTATATTTCTTGTCAAACTTGTTACCCCCTTCTCTCATTTTTCTTTTTCTAATTTCCCTCTCCTCAGATCCTGGTTTAAAGCTAGCCTGGGCAGAAAAGTCACTTATTTCCAGTTAACCAATAAAAAGTTGGAAGTTGAGATAAGGCTCTAGTGGTAGAGTGCCAGCCTTGAGCAATAACACTAAGCAAGATGGAGAGGCCTAGTTCAGACTCCATTACATACTCACTTTGTCAAACGGATGCACACTCATACACAAAACAACCTAGTTTTGTGTGTGTGTGTGTGTGTGTGTGTGTCAGTTGTGGGCTTGAACTCTGGGCCTGGGTGCTGCCCATAAGCTCTTCAGCTAAAGGCTAGCACTCAGCCAGTTGAGCCACAGTGCCACTTCTGGTTTTCTCAGTGATTTATTGGAGATAAGAGTCTCATGGGTGACTCAAGCTTGTAATCCTAGCTACTCTGGAGGCTGAGATCTGAGGATCATGGTTCAAAGCCAGCCTGTGCAGGAAAAGTTCATGAGACTCTTATTTCTAATAAGCCACTCAGAAAACTGGAAGTGATGCTGTGGCTCAAGTGGTAGAGCTCTATTCTTAAGCTGAAGAGCTGAGGGAGAGTGCCCAGGCCCAGAGTTCAAGCCCCACAACTGACCAAAAAAAAAAAATGTTTTTTTACGAACTTTCCTGCCCAAGCTGGCTTTGAACCACAGTCCTCAGATCTCAGCTTCCTGAGTAGCTAGGATTACAGGCATGAGCCACCAGCGCCGAATTAGAAGAGCCTTTCTTGAGGGTAGAAGTATCAATACTGGGATTTGGACTCAGGAACACATATGTACTAGCCTAGTGCTCTACCATTTGAACCATGCATCCAGCACTGTTTTTCACTGGTTATTTTTTTCTTCTTTTTTTCTTCGTTATAAAGATGATTTACAGAAGGGTTATAGTTATATATTTCAGCTAATGAATACATTTCTTTTTGAGGATTTTTTTTTTTTTTTTTGGGTCCAGTCGTGGGGTCTGAACTCTGGGCCTGGGTGCTGTCCCTCAGCTCTTCAGCTCAAGACTAGCACTCTACCACTTGAGCCACAGCACCACTTTCGGCTTTTTTTTTTTTTTTTTTCCTGCTTATGTGGTGCTGAAGAATGGAACCCAGGGTCTCATGCATGCAAGGCAAGCACTCTACCACTGAGCCACCTTCCCAGCCCAATACATTTCTTTTTGGACAATGTCGTCACCCCTTCCCTTGCTCTCTCCCAGTTTTTCTCTCTCACTGTTTTGTTGTTGTAGTTGATTTTTGTTATTATAAAGGGTAATGTACAGATGGGTTACAGTTAATGTAAGTCAGGAAATGAGTACATTTCTTTTTGGACAATGTCACCCCTTCCCTTACTCCTAGTTTTTCTTACGTCCTCACCCACAAATTTTATAGTTAATTTTCAACATAGTGTCTAGTGGGTACCACTGATAGATCTATTCACCCTTTGTGCCTTCATTTCTATGCAACCCTTCCCCCCCCTCCAATCCCACCTTCCCAAAGGAAGTCTAAAAAAAAAAAAAAACAGAAAAAAATCCTCTTGTTTCCATTTCCTAATCATTCCTAGGTTTTGTTTTGGATTTTGTGCCACTACTGGCGCTTGAACTCATGGAGCTGTCCCTTAGCCTTTTTGCTCAAGTCTGAGATTACCACTTGAGCCATACGTCCACTCCTGGATTTTGAATGGTTAATTGGAGTAAGAGTTTTCACTGGCTTTCTTACCTGGGCTGGCTTCAATCCATGATCCTCAGGTCTCAATCTTCTGTGTAGCTAGGGTTTCAGGAATGAGCACCTGGTGATGCTTGGCTTACATTAGATAGTTCAAATTCAAAAGAAAGTTGCAAGATGGGCTGGGAATGTGGTTTAGTGGTAGAGTACTTGCCTAGCATGCATGAAGCACTGGGTACCACATAAACAGAAAAAAGCCAGAAGTGACACTAATTGCTCAAGTGGTAGAGCACTAGCCTTGAGCACAGGAGAGGCTCAGGGACAGTGCCTAGGCCCTGAGTTTATGCTCCAGAACTGGCAAAGAGAGAGAGAAAAATAAAAGGAAGTTGCAGGAGAAATACAAAAGAAATCTTATTTATACTTTTCCTGGGTTCATTAAGTTTTAGCATTTTGTCACATTTGATATGTGTAAAACAGTAGTTCTTATAGATGCTCCTGCAGTTTTTTTGTTTGTTTGTTTGTTTTGTTGGTCATGGGCCTGAACTCTGGGGCTGGACTCTGTCCCTCAGCTCTTCAGCTCAAGGCTGGCGCTCTACCATTTCTGGCTTTTTTCTAATTATGTGGTGCTGAGGAATCAAACCCGGGGCCTCATGCATGCAAGGCAAGCACTCTACCACTAAGCCACCTTCCCAGCCCCAACGCTTCACAATTTTGTGTGTCATCCTTACCCAGGGGCCATGCTAATGTTCTCTGTATCCTTCCAATTTTAGTATATGTGTTGCTGAAGGGAGCACTGCAGTTTGGTTTTTATTTGTATATTTTTCCTCCCTCATAATAAACTTCATTTTATACCTTTTTACCTAGGAAGTATTAACAAGAATATTATTTTCCTGGTTTTTGTTTTTGTTTTTTTTGTCAGTCATAGGGCTTGAACTCAGGATCTGGGCTCTGTTCCCAAGCCTCTTTTGTGCTCAAGCTAGCAATCTACCACTGGGCCACAGCAGTACTTCTGGCTTTTTCTGAGTATTTTATTAGAGAGAAGAGTCTCAGGGACTTTCGTGCCCATGCTAGCCTGGAACTGCAGTCCTTAGATCTCAGCTTCCTAAGTAGCTAGGATTACAGGCATGAGCCTCCAGCACCTTTTGTTGGCTTTCAGAAGGGAATTGTGAAAGCTAACGCTTTTCATGGTAAATTTGTGTCAGACCCTGATAATGTACCCATATTCTGACCCAGAAGACAGTATTGCCTGCTAAAAATCACCTAGGTCTGAAAAAATCTTGATTCTGGCCTTGTTACCACCGTTCTCGGTCCTTCTCTTAGAGAGCAATCCTGAGTCTCCAGTGACCATGACAGAACCCTACCGGACCCTCTCAGGACACACAGCAAAGATTACCAGTCTGGCATGGAGCCCACATCATGATGGGAGGCTAGTGTCTGCTTCCTACGATGGAACAGCACAGGTACTGTTGTGTCCTTAACCTGTCCTCAACCCTGAGGGTTCTTCCTCACTGTGCATTTAAATCTAAGAACTAAGGAGACATCAAAGTGTGTCTCCTGCTGGGTGCTGGTAGCTCACACCTGTAATCCTAGCTACTCAGGAGGCTGAGATCTGAGGATTGTGGTTCAGAGCCAGCCCAGGCAGGAAAGTCTGTGAGACTCTTACCTCCAAATAACCATCAGAAAACCAGAAGTGGTGCTGTGACTCTTAAGTGGTAGAGTGCTTGCCTTGAGCTGAAGAGCTTAGGGACAGTGCCCAGGACCAGAGTTCAGGCCCCAGAACCAACAAAAAAAAGTGCCTTCTGACAAAACTTCAGTCTGGTTTAAATGAGTAGCTGGACAGACTGAACATGTTTTGTACTGTTTTTCTTTTTTGCACCATTAATAAGGCTTACATGTAAGCCCTAAGTTTTCATGCCCTAAGTTTTCACACAAGGCTGGCATTCTTCTACTTGAGCCACAGCGCAAGTGCTCAAGAGCCTAGTGGTGGTTAATTGGAGATAAGAGTCTGATGGGTTTTCCTGCCCCAGCTGGCTTTAAATGTTGATTGAGCCTCAGTTCTCAGCCTCCTAAGTAGCTAGGACTACAGTCACGTACCCCACACTGACATACGCAATTGTCTTAAACACAGAAATGTTGGCTAATTGCAAAAATAATTGAGTGTTTTTGGTTGGTTTATGATTTTTGCTTTTGTTTTTGTATTTTTTTTTTTTTTGACACAAGAATCTCTCACTATGTCATTTAGGCTGGCCTCAAACTCTAGATCTTTCTGACTTAGCTTTCTGCTTGCTGTGATTACAAGCCTGCACTATCATACTTGGCACAGAAACAATTTTATAATAAGTTGGTTAAGTCAGAAACTTCCACACCCTAAAAAATAAAGATGAAATGCCAGACCAGGTCTTCCAAGTAGGAGTTCTAGATGTCAGAGCCAGATTGTCCTTAGCAGCTAAGAAACTTGGCAACTGGAGAACTGGTAGATGTCTAACTTGGTGTTGAATTGTAATTAAGCTCTTTGCACAAAGCTGGGCGCCATGAAAAAGGGCTGCCTTCGGTGAAATGGCCACAGGATAATTCAAGAGATACCAAGTACCTGTGTGGCTCACTCCTGTAATCCTAGCTACTCAGGATGCCAAGATCTTAGAATTGAGGTTCAGCCTGGGCAGGAAAATCTGAGAGATTCTTACCTTCAATTAACTAGCAAAAGGCTGGAATTGGAGCTGTGGTTTAAGCAGTAGAGAACTAGCCATAAGTGAAAGATGTAAGGGTCAACATCCAGACCCTGAATTCAAGACTCAGTATTAGCACCATTTTTCTAGGAACTCAAAAATGAGAATTATAGGGCAGGAAATGTGGCTCAGTGGTAGAGTGCTTGCCTAGCATGCATGAAACCCTGGTTTCAATTCCTCAGTACCACATACACAGGAAAAGCCAGAAGTGGCACTGTGGCTCAAGTAGAAGTGCTAGCCTTGAGCAAAAGCAGCTTAGGGACAGTGCCTAGGCCCTGAGTTCAAGCCCAGAGTGGTCAAAAATAATAATAATAATATTATTATTATTATTATTATTATTATTATCTTGAGTAATTAGACCTCTAATTTTCTTTTTTAATTAGTGCGTATTTGTTGTGTAAGAGGGAGGTTGTGAAGTTTCTGTATATGTGTATAGTATATGTCTTATCCCATCCATTGCCTCCTTCCTTCCCAGTCTTACACTCCAATTAACTGCTAAAAAGCTGGAATTGGAGGTAGAGCACCAGCCTCTAAGGGACAGTACAGGCCCTGAATTGAAGCCCTAGTACCAGCACCAAAAAAAAAGAACCATTCCATGGAAATGATTATATATCCTATAGCATATATTGCTCCACAGGAAATAGTAGTGTCTGGTATTGAGCTTCTAAAAGTCATAAATAACATGAGGAAATAGTGATCAAAAGTTTAATTTTTTATTATTTATTTTTATTTTTTTTGCCAGTCCTGGGACTTGAACTCAGGACCTGGGTAATGTCCCTGAGCTTCTTTTGCTCAAGGCTAGCATTCTACCACTTGAGCCACTGCGCCACTTCTGGCTTTTACTTTTTTTATGTGGTACTGAGGAATCAAGCCCAGGACTTTATATATGCTAGGCAAGCATTCCCTCACTAAGCCACATTCCCAGCCCCAAAGTTTTTTTGAATAAGTAATTTATTCCCCCCAGGATAACATAATAACCAGACATTGTCATTGTTCTGTCACATGGTTTTGGATGCAGGTGTGGGATACTCTTCGAGAAGAGCCTCTATGCAACTTTCGAGGACATCGAGGCCGACTGCTCTGTGTAGCATGGTCCCCATTGGATCCAGATTGCATCTACTCAGGGGCAGATGACTTCTGCGTGTACAAATGGCTGATTTCCATGCAAGACCATTCTAGGCCTCCTCAAGGTCAGTTAGAGCATGGAGTCCATAAAATGACTGCCCAATAACTTTTCTCTTTTCCTTAGTAATCAAATTGACCAGATCCATACAAATAGTTATTCAGAGCCCCAGCAAGGGAGACAGGGCCCCTATCATCCAGAGCTTGGTTGCTAAGTATCATTCTTCACTGAAAAGGTTCAGGGCTTTTTTGGGAAATGGAAGGATCTGGGACATGATATTATGCCAAAAAGGCAAACCATAATCATTTATTTTTTGGTCGGTCATGGCGCTTGAACTCTGTGCATGTGTTCTGTCCCTATGCTCTTCAGCTCAAGGCGAGTGCTCTACCCCTTGAGCCACAGGGCCATTTCCAGTTTTCTAGTGGTTTATTGCAGATAAGAGTCTCACAGACTTCCCTACCCAGGCTGGCTTTGAACCATGTTCCTCAGATCTCAGCCTCCTGAGTAGCTAGGATTACAGGCGTGAGCCACCAGCGCCCTGCATAGAAATCCATTTCTGATTACCAAAAAATTGACTAATAGTGAACATGACCACCTGGTAGGAAAAAAACTAGAAATAATTAGACTATATTATACACAAGTAGAAGCTGGGAGTTGATGTCTCACATTTGTAATCCTAGCTACTCAGGAGGCTAAGATCTGAGAATTGCAAAAAGCTGGAATTGGAACTGTGGTTCAAGTGGTAGAGTGCTAGCCTTGAGCAAAAGAAACTCATGGACAGAGCCCCGCCTCAGGACCAGCACAAAAAATAAAATAAGGTAGAAATTTACTCAATTGCTGGATTTACATGAAAAATTCTAAAAGAGTGCTCTTAGCTTCGTCTGTGGTCTCCATATACTGGAAGTAGCTCATGTTTTTCAGCAGACAAATTTATCACCTGTGTTGAACACAATTCCTACAGTGGAGTTCTACTCAGCAATAAAATAAAATAGAAGATAGTAGGCTAGAAGTGTGGCTCAGTTGTAGCATATATATTATGCATATATATGTGTGTGTATATGCATATATACACACATCTCCCTGGGTTAAATGCATAGAACCAGAAAACAGAGAAAGAGGGAAAAAAACTATAGTTCCCTGTACTACCAAAAAAAGCAAGTACTTGGGACTGGGAAGGTGGCTCAGTGGTATAGCGCTTGCCTTGCATGCCTGAGGCCCTGGGTTCGATTCCTCAGCACCACATAAGCAAAAAGAAAAAAGCCAGAAGTGGCACTGTGGCTCAAGTGGTAGAGCGCTAGCCTTGAGCTGAAGAGCTGAGGGACAGCGCCCAGACCCAGAGTTCAGGCCCCACGACCAGACCCAAAAAAAAAAAAAAAAAAAAGCAAGTACTAATGAACATAACAGAATGCTAAAAATAAAACCATTAACTGAACAAAAGAAGTCAGTCACAAAAGACAGTATATTACTGTTTAATTTCTTTTTAGATGAAATTCTAGAAAAGGCAAAACTAAACTATAGTGACAGCTGATCAGTGATACAGCCTGGGGCTCAGGAAAGAGATACGTTTTACTACAGAGACATGAGAGAACTTTTAGGAGTAAAAGTAATACCCTTTTCTTTTTTCTTTTTCTTTTTTTTTTTTTTTTTTGCCAGGCCTGGGGCTTGAACTCAGGGCCTGGACACTGTCCCTGAGCTTCTTTTGCTCAAAGCTAGCACTCTTACCACTTGAGCCACAGCGCCACTTCTGGCCTTTTATGTTTATGTGGTACTGAGAAATGGAACCCAGGGATTCATGCATGCCTATCTGTTTGTAGTGGCAATGGTAACTTTTTCCCCTGATCCTGGCACATATACTTTAATCATGTAATTAAGAGGGCTGGGGAGTAGAGGGGTAGCAGTGGGAAGGGAGGGGAAAATGGAAAGGCTAAATTTGGTCAGAGAGCTT